GGTTGTTTTCATGTATAATACTAATTGTGTAACCTTTGCCAACCTTGTACCTGGTTTCTCGCTTTTTAGATGTTGCTGGCATTGCTGGGGTAACACAAGAAGTGGAGTTCATGTTGAAAGGATCGGAGTATCCATCAAGAATTCACAATCCACTGGCTTTGACCAAGTTCCTTAGTAACGCTAGGTTGTGTCCATTGCTTCTCTCAGCATCCAATCCATGGGGAGAAGATTTGGGCGTTCCGTGACCATACATGGGAAAACATATCCTCAAAGAACAAGAAAGCAAATGCATTCCAGAGTTTGGCAGGTTATGTTTGGGACCTTAGGTGAAACTGCATACCAGCTTGGCCCTAGGCTGGTTTGCGGACTTGCTTGCCGAGTTCCGGCCCAAGAGTCCATGGAATTCAAAACGAAAAGCCGAAACTGCAAAGTCGAGAACCTGAAGCTTAGGCCAGTGTTTGCTCATTTTGTTGGCCGAACCGGTTGCACGCCTGCACGCGTGCACCGGGACCCGAACTCACATCCAAGCAGCCAAATTGGCGGTCACCGGGCGATACTGCACGGAGCCCGCATCCATGGCGGTGTCGGCACCTGGGCGTGGCAGGTGGCGAATCTCGTGGGATGTACGGGACAGGCGGGTGCGACGACCAAGAGAGGTCCCAAAGACCTTGTGGGACCATAGAGTCTAGGCGGGTTTATGTGACAAGTCCCACAAAGTTCTTCAACTTCCGTAGGTATCTGGCTGACTGGGATGCAATAACTCCAGTTACAACTGCCCCCGCCAATTAAGAGAATCCAGTGGAGCGCCTTCCTCCACAAGTTTGGAGATCCGGGATTGAACTCGAGAGCTCAACACACCAACAAAAGGGCATCAAACCCAGCTCATCGAAGAACACATGAAAAAACAAAGCAATGCTGTGTGCATTTGCTGGCTCCGCGCCTAAAAGCAAGATCTTCATGAGCGCATTCTCCATCTTCCGCAAGGTGATCTTATCCATCACAAAGAATGCCACATCATCTGGACTTGCATCCTTCACTTGTGGATGAGCTGTGTCATGCAGGAATCGCCACAAAGCCCTCATGACCTGTGCAACCAACTCGACGCCACTGGGTGGTAAGCGTCCCGCGCGGTGCATCGCCTGTTGCACTTGGCTCAGCAAGGCCTCCGGCACTGGGGCCGCAGCTGCAGCGATGAGGCCCTCGTTACCCTGCAAGTCCAACAGATCCAACGGCATGAGCTTCCTGAAGTCGGCTGGTGGCTGAAGTCGGCTGATTATTGGCCCCGCATGCACAAGGTTTTTATGCACCTCAACCCTGCTTTGGGGCATTTCGCAGGTTCAGGGGTGAAGCTGTTGTCCAGCCTTGTCAAACTAACGCTAAAGCTTCTTTTCATCATTGCCATCTGTGTGATCTCATTATCTCATGAACGGTCGCCAGGCTCGATTGAACCCATGCAAGAACAAAGCGATATTGATGTCAAAAGCCCGACTTTTGGAACATCCAACCGTAATTTTCGTTTCGAGCGAGGAAAGGCCGAGGTTCTTGGTGTTCTGCCGCTCCATCACTGCAGTCATAAAGTAGCCCACTGACCGCAGCGAGAACAAGTTCTCCGCGAGGGAGATGAAGGACAAGCTAGGGGCCGTGGTGATGAGCTGACAAAGGTCAGAGCAAGAGTCCATGGTCAACAAATTCCTGAGCAAAACGTTGGCAAATCAAAAAAGTATATAACTATATAACGGTAAAACAACCGTTCAGCAACCAATGGTAGCCTTTGCCTGATTCAGCCCAAGGGTCTGAGACAGGTCGAGGGTCTGCAAAGATGGGCAATCATTCAAAGCCTGCACAAGGGTTGCAAAGGCCGTGTCGTTGATCGAGGCCCCTCGAAGCAAGGCTTGTTGCAAGTCCCGTTGCCGCATCCACCTGAGTCACAAGACGAGTAAGTGTTGATCGACAAGCTCTACTGACCACCTAGGAACCTTAGCCAAGGTTTGGCTCTATTAAATGTGATCATACATGGCAAGGTCATTCGTCATGCAATCAAGTCGCTGATCTACCACACGCATGAGCTTGGTCGAGACCTGCAACGCAACAAATGTCACTCGGTCACGCAAGAAACAAACTAAGCCAACTGGGAAAAGCCACCCTCTCAAAAGCACGTACCCCAGCACAAACAGCTCTAACTTTAGCAACCGCACAAACAACAAGTTGAGGGGGCCTAGGCCCACCTAATCCTACCTAGACCTACCCTACCTACCTAGACCGGCCGACCTACCGGGGATACTCGGTCCCTCGATCCTCCCGGTCCTCCCACCTGGCTCCCACGCTCTCGGAGCGCTTGCTCATCACCGGTCCCCGAGGTCGGCGAGGCCGGGACGGCACCCGCGGTGCCTTTGGTCAAGTCCTCCGCGGCCGGGGCCGGCACGGGCGGTGCCAACGTAGGGATGCGAGTTGGGGCGCACTCCACAGGGATGGGGCACAGGAGGGGTCTAAGGAGATTTAAATAGCATGTAAATAAGACCGGGATGAGGATTTAGTGAGCACTTTCATGAGTTTTTCTGCTTGGTTTGTATAGTTGCCGGTTGTTTGCACGCTTGCCGAGACAAAACTCATGAGAGCCTTAATCAGCCATGAGATCCATGAGCACGGATCAGTGCAGCATAGTGTAGCCATGTTCATCTTAGCAGTGAAGGAATCTTTTGAGCAGTGTCAACAGCTGTCTCACAGCTGTACAACAGGAAAATCACTCCGAATCGTGAATCGCTCGCGGTCCTGAAGTCTTCTCTCCAGCTGTTGTGACTCAGCTGAGACTTGGTCGCGTTTTTGGACCTCCTCGTCCAACTGCCGGGTCAACTTGACCATCTTGCCTTGGGCACAGTGGACCGCCAAAGTGGACAAGCACAAAAAGCAGGGCCGTGGTCCGCCGGAAAATCCAAACGGCCAGTGAAGGGAACAAGGGACCATCATCGCTTCATATGGGATTGATTCGAGGCAAACATGACCAGTTGGCCCAGTTTGGCCTTGCCGCCCAGTTGCTCTTCATGGCTTCCAACCTGAAGTCACTCGACTCCCGGTGGTCGCTTTAGCCCGTTGGAGTTCTCTGAGGTGTCCAACCAAAAACCAGGTCTACTATCATCGAACCCTTGGAAAAATAATCCTGGGGTCAAACATATTGATATGCAGCCATTATACAGCCATGTTCATACACAAATGCAGCTTTATCATCAACTATATATTATCTTAAAAAATCGTACAGGCATGTGCGACACTTTTGTTTTTTTTCTTTTTTTTGATGTTGTGCTGCCTTCAGGAGAAAAAAAAACAATCCGCACCATGCACATGATGCTGCACCTGCAGTATTTGTTGGAGTCGACCTGAGGGGTTAGGATCTTGGAGGCAGTGCATCCAACAGTTTGCTTACTTAAAATGACATCAGTCACAAATCATACTGGGCTCATTGACTCATGATGTCTCAGGATCACTTCAACGTGAAAGCTGTCAGGTAATAAGGGGCACAGTCACCCAGGAGTAAAAGGACAAGTGGAGCCATGCACATTTAGACCTTCCCCGTTGTTCGGATCTTACCATTACATAGTACTATACATCTTGTTTGTGGCGAGACGTGCTCAGGCCCAACACGTTCTCCGTTCATGTTGGCTTCTCATCCAAGGCACTCTTGAGTTCGTTGCATCGCGGACTCTTGATGACCCTTTCCCGCTTCGCGCTCTGAGGCGATCTTGCTTTCCTTGGATCGCACCACATGGGGCAACCACATGGGTCGAGAAGATGCTAACGAGAACGCCAGAAACTATGGGAATTCATGGACATTCTGACTCCGAGCATTCCTTGGGAATTCTGACCATCTCTTTTGCACGACCATGATCCTCAAGAATGACAAAAAAAGACAACATCATATATATATATGTATACACAAATATCTAGCATTTATGAAGCACTCGAAAATTGTGTTGTATTGCATATACTGGGGCAATGTACGAGTATGTTCAATCCATGCCCGGATAATTACAAGATGCATTGTTCGAACATGTCTGAACATGTCCTATGTGATAGACAAATGTCTTCACCAGTCTAAGTGTGGCAAGTGGGAATTGCATAGTCATCCAATGATCAACGCCTGTAACTGGGATGCACCAAGATTCAAATTCATTCTTCTCCTTCTCGCGCTGCTGCTGGAGGTTCTTGAGCTCCTGAAGAAGTTCATCGACTCTTCTAGGCGGTCGACATCCCTCCGCTCCAACAATGTCAGCATCAACGATGTGACCTTCTGGTATGGAACGTCATGTCAACGTGCATGGGAATGGGATCGCCGGCGTGTGTTCGAAGAATTCGCAGCACAACTGAAGACCCCAGTAAGTAGCCAAATCTGAGGAATGGTTCTTAGTCTGGATTGCCAATTATAAGCCAATGATATCAATGTTACATGAAATTCCATACACCACCGCCTCGACCGCCTCGACTCCGACTTGCGTGTTCCGACTTCTCCTTCTTCAGCCGCTGGTTTTCCTCCGCGAGTTGGTCAGCTTCTGGCATGCTGGGCTACAAAATCTTTGGGCGCCGGCGTCACGAGGTACTATGCCGGCGAGGTGGGTCCGCGGCAGGATGCAAACAACTCCTGCTGCAAACGATAGGTCGCCCTGGAGCCCAGAAACCGCGGAGAGATCGAGTGAAACAAAAGAGAGCACACAAATGAATCCAGGTTTGGGAGAACCATGGTTTGGTTCTCATGGTGAATGAATGATGATTTAACTGGGAAATTCAGGTTTGTGATCATTTACCATGGTTTGGGACTGAATACTGGGAGATTCTCATGATGATAAATGAATGAATGATCACACAAAAGTCAAAACTCGTCGACCGGCATTTTGGCCTCTAAAGAGCCCGTCAACAAAGGCAAATAACTCATCTCAATCACTAGGAGAGACGACGAGAGACATCTCCTTTGGACTCGATTCTGGTGACTCGAGTCCAACCCTCGAGGCGGCCTCAGGGCTTGAGGCTTCTGTGGCACCCGGCCTAGGAATCGGGGCTTCCATGGGCTTCCTGGTGTGGCCCTGGGTGTCACCCCTCTTCCTGGAGTGGTGGCTGGAGTCACTAGGAATGAATTGCGTGTGGGGTTGAAAACTATGGAGAACCTGCTTTTGCAGCAGTGCACTGTGCATCATGAACCTCTCGAGATATCTCAATGGGCTTCTTTTCATGAATGTCGCCCAGGCTGCAGCTCACATAAATAATCAACACTCCCCAAAACAAACAAATGGTGTCACAGCAAGCAAAAATGCCAATATATCCAACTTTGACTTCACAGGGTTCACTCTGGTTGGCTGAAGGTAGTTCCAGATTGTGCTACCTCTTTTGTCAAATCTTGGTTCTCGGCTCTTGGCCACTTTCATCCACTACTGTAGTCACTAGTGCCAAAGGCTTGCCCACAGCTGCATCCCAATTCGTGGGGCTTGCCAGCCACACCCATCTGGGCAGCGCCCAGCGGAAAAGAACCGAAGAGCCGGCGAACGATTCGGAAAGCCAGGACCCAAGGGCATTCTGACCCTTTTGATTCACGATAGGCATCCAAGTGTGAACAGTGCCTCTAGGGATGAACCCACCCTAGGCCTCTTTGAGGTCTTTCGTCCGAGTCTGAGAACGATTCAATTACAGCTGGTGAAGACCAAGTCATCTTGACAATCCAGCTGGTGAGATTACTAGAGGTCTGTCAGGAACTTTGCAACCCAAGTTGCAACCCAAGTCTTGAACACTATAACCCCCTGCCCGCAGCATTCTCGGGAGAGCACAAACAAGGCCATCAATGGCGATGTAACGCGTGTCAATGTGTATTCAACTCGCCCTCGCATCAACTCAGTGCCCCAGCGCTACACTCCCTGGAATCATTAAGTGGAAAGTGGAAAGCTACGGATTTGTAGCGGAAAATTGTCATCCACGGGGGGGGGCATTTTTCACTTCCATGATGATTCCAGGGAGTGTAATCCTTTTCATTTGCTGCCACGAGAAAGAAGCGTGAGGTCCCATCAGCAAATATCTACGATCTCTCACATGGTCCCTTCTTTTGGCCCCTGGTGATCAATGCATTCACAATCCTTCCCACGGTGACCAGTCCTCAATCTGTTGTTTCTTCAGTGCCCCGGCAGGAATATCACTTCCGCCAAATCCTTTCTCAGGTAGTGTAGGGCCATGTCCTGTGAAAAGAATCTGGACCAAATATTGCAGGTCATGCGCCAACAATGGAATACAACATGTCTGCGATGTGTACAGGTTCCTTCAGTTTTAGTGAGGGTCTCTTCGCATGCTCTATAGAAACACTCCCATCGTCACATGGTCTAACAAAGTTTCAACGGACTCGGACGCGGCAGCCCAAGAAAACGGACAAACATGCTACACCTGGCGATCTCCATTGTCACCGGATCTCACCGGAGCACCTCCCGGCGACTCCGCAGCTCCGAGCACTCCGAGCGACTCCGCACCAGCAGTCCTCATCTTCTTCTGCCCCACGCTTACACAAATGGTCCAAGCAGGTGTACCTGCCACACTTCGGCCGGTGAAAACTCTGGCTGTGGCTGTCCAATTATATGTCAACCTACCAACAAAACTGCATGAATTTGTGATGGTGTCTCTATGTGCGTGCTGAGTCCAATCAATTTGCACCGCGCCCGGCCCAAAACATACAAAATGAGCAATGGCTTTGAACTATTAGGCCCGATTAGCCTTCCTCGACCAAATCGTCAAATGGAAAGGCACAGTCAACGCGTTGAACAAAGAATCTGTCACATTAGCCGGCACTCAACTCAGACCCTGGCTGACTGTCAATTCCTTGTACAGCGTGACTCGTGACGCTGCAACATATTTGCAGCTCTGATTTGTTGACACAACAGGACAACAAATAAGTAACAGTCATAGTAATTAATGACAAAAAAAAACTATTTCAAACATGTATGACATATATATATATAAGACATACCAATGCCAGGACACACCAAAAGGTCACCACCAACTTTTGAACAACTTGCTGCAAAATCCTCCAGTTCAGCAGCGCAGCCAGCGCACGCATCCAAGAGAGCACTTGGGTCTTCGGCTGTGGCCTGATGCGCCGCGGCCCACATCTCCAGCCCAGCCCTGTTCATCGAGGTTGCACTGGCTCAAACGACTGGGTTTGCCCCGAGGGGAACAAACATGACCAACGACCAACAGTCTTGTTTTTTAGTTTTTCGGCAAATGTCTGCGTCTCATGATTGAGCCACATCCACATGATCATCTATGGTCAACCCTAATCACTATAACACTGGCTGAAGGTGCCTTCACAAAAAGTCATCATGCCTGACTGACTGTTGCAGGCATGAACAGTTCAAGTAGCAAATTAACACTAAATGACTAAATGACAGTGGAATGGTTTTGGTAGGAGAAAAGCTCCCCCAAGCTCTGCCCAAGCGGGGAGGAATTGATCAAAACTCCTTCCATGGGGACGTCTCCCAGTTCACAGCTGATTTCTCTGGATTTCCGCACTACGACAATACATGGAATAGGTCTCCAGCCTGTTAAACACCTCTCCTGCCAAACGCTTGAGCCACCCTCCAAAGTACAAAACATGCGAGAATGAGAGTCGAAGATGTTTGAAGCACTTTGGCGTCACAAATGGGAACCCGCCATCCAGGCCCCAAAGGTGCTCCTGCGCAGCTGCCCGCAAGCGTTCGCGGACCTGCGATGGAGAAGCGGTGTGAAACACCGGGCTGCCGTGGCGCAAGGATCGCGTCAACCAAGCGCTGTTAAATTCTGCATCAACCAAGCGAAGGAACCATCTGTCAAACAATTCTGCCAACAAATCAAATCAATCCAGCACGCAAGTCACATCCCAAACCACGGATTTTCTTTTTCACCCAACGGCGGGACGGGGCCTCCACGGAGCTCACCAGTGGCACATCCAAGAGATCCACGAAGAGAGGCTGCAGTTCTGGGTAGTGCACCTCACCGGATTTGCGGTCACCGCGCCAAAAGGTGAGCCAGGTGTTCCGGTGTGCCTCCAGTGATCCTGCAGAATCCAACTTCTATAGGGCATATAGGGCACAGGACAAGGTCACGTTCTATAAGCTTCTCACGAAGAAAACTTAAACAGATCTATCTATCTATCTATCGAGCCAAATCTTTGTGACGGCTGGGTGGATGTATGATGAAGTCCCATATGGGGTGGATGAAGGCACCGGCTTTTTCTCTCACCGGCTCACATACGCTGGAGGGCGATTCTTCGTCCCTGCCCACATACGCTTGTTCTGTCAGAGTGCGGACAGTCTTAAAGGCGTCGTTGGTCAAGGCTTGGTCGTACTGAGTGTCCAATATGGAAAAATGCTCGCAATCGTCCCCAGATCGGCGGTGAAATGCGCATGGTGTCGTCATGTCTCGCCGAAAGTGTTCATGGTGTCACTTGGCATTGCTTGATTTTCCCTGTTTAAGCTAAATAGAACCTTCACAACATCAAGAGGCAAAAGATGATTACAGATTGATTCATGGTTTGTAGATGAGATTTGCATGTCGAAACGGATTTCCACCTCAAAACCATCCACCTTCCCGGAAGGTGGCACGCCTGGAGCGACACCAAACGAACGGCTGAAAGTGCAGTCGATGCCACGTCCAGCCACCTCGGAGAAACATAAGTTTGCTCTGTGACGGGATGCGCTTGTCACTTGATCTAAGCATGCATTTGACTGAACTATAAAAGAAGTCTTTGCGAGTTCTGTCAGCTAGGATGGAGGATGAAGGTTGTAGATGGGGGGTGGGGGATGAGTCTTAAGGATGGAGGTTGTAGATGAAGCTGCCCAAGCAAAGCTGGTGTCTCTTTCTCCGTGCGAACGCCAATCATGGGCACTTGAGACAGGCCCCTCACACATTTGCCTTCCTCAGTGCGCCAAGGCTGCAGCGAAGGTGGGTGGTTGAACCATTCTTATTTTGGGATGTTGCCACCCTAATTTTTGTGGGTCGAAGTTGGTCCTGCAACATCCTGCAATCCACTCCAGGACTGAAGCTGGGTCCTGAGAGGATTGGGCCCTTGTAAAGTGCGTCTATTCCTTAGCGATCTCATGATATGGGAGGCCCAACTGGCAGTGATTCAAAAGCCTGCAGCCTCTGCCCCAAAAGTAGTTCCGCCTTCATCACTGGCCCAAGGCCCAAGGCATAACCATGATATCAACTTGTTAACCAATATGAACAAAAGGGCAGAACATGGACTCGGACAGTCAAAGAACCACTCACTCGATCCATGTGCATATTATATGTGACTATAATATTATATGATTGTGCATTATTGGTATATATGCATATTCGCATATATATTGAATGGGCTTGAGCGCCTGATGGCAGCTTCGCAAACCCGAGCTCGATCTGTGGTGGCTCACCTCCTACCTCCCCTCTTCTTCCCTCACTTCTGGCATTTTTACCGGCCAAGGTTCTTCCTCTTGTTGAGGGCTGTCAGGATGTGTTTGCCTGCGGAGTGGCTTCTCCCAATGCACGACCTCCCCTAGGGTCAGGCCGGGAACATCGGACCACCCGCATAAGATCGATGCCACCTGTTTGGAGCCTGTGTCAAAACAGCATGTCAACACCCAAAGGATTTGCTTCAGGATGCATTGGGCATTGTTCTATTTTCTCACTGTATAGCCCACACAGTTACAGGAGAAACACTTGTTTTCTCCACAAGCCCAAACCTGGCCAAGCAGTCTGGTAAACCATCCAGTCCTGCAACAGGTGCGCCCTGGCCTGTGGCTGATTTCTTGAGATCATCTTGAACCGCTTCCACGCGGCGTCTGAGCTCCTGCCAGTCTTCACCACGACTGTACCTTAGGGCACGCAAGTCGATACTCGTAAAAACTGGAGCAAAGGAAGGTGAAGCGATTCGCTTCCTGGCCCAAACATCCTTGCAAGGCCATTTCCCTGAGATTCAGTCGAGTTCGAGCACACACCTCTTAACAAGCTAAGGTTCATCCGACACTGCTGCGGTACGTACACTCTTTTCAGAGCAAGGTGCTCGATGATCCGTTGTGCCGTGTAGTTGCCAAACCTGATCGGATTGGGCGATTCTTCTCTGTTCCATGGGCCAACGGGATTTCCACTGTTTGGTGGGTCTACAGTGGAGATTTTTGAACCGAACCTTCTGCATGCCTGAACCTCGCAAGCAAAGGCACAAACTGAGCACCGAGCTTGTCCGTCATGAGTTGGGCGAAGGGCGCCCTTGTGTCGCCAGAGGAGCCTAAAACGGCTGACATGAGAGCCGTGCGATTCTCCACCAGTTTGGAGGCATCCTGGCTGACTTCGGAGCGACCAAAGAGGATCGTTAGAGGTGGAAGCTGTGTTGTTTAGGTCACACGGCACGTGCTGTGGTTGGATTGCAAGTTGGAGAACACGGGACGCCGAAGCACCTCACAACTCACAACATAGGTGCTTTTTCTGGATGATTTTTCCGTTTAAACCTGCATTCCTCATATAACATTGGTCCCCATAGGTGGTTTGTTTTTCCGAACGAGGTTCCCCAGCGACATCGCCACGCTGTTGCGGCAGCTGGAGGAACCAACAAAAACACACCAAAACACTGGATGGGACCTTCCTGGACCAACCGGCGGTGCATGTTGGTCCATTCTTTCCGAAGTTGGGGACCAGTAGAACAGCATTTGCTCATCTCATCAATCCAAGCATCTGGCCCAACAGTGGTGATCTCGAAACATCGTTCCACCACATTGCTGGAGACTTTGTTCTTTGCAAACTCCAGGACTTTCTCCGTGATGAGTTTCACGATGCGGATCTTATCCTGCAACCTCCCGCGCTCCAAAATACATTGAATCACATAGTTGGCATGCTTGTCCTCGATGGCCCACTGCTCAAAAAACATGAACAAGACACATCTACGTTACCTGTTGAGGGGTGCAACTTATATTTCCATGCTGGAAACCCAACAAGGTAAAAAGGTCAGTGCTGGGCCAATTTCAGTCTCCTTTGAAAGCTTGTCAGTGGCCTCCACAATGGGATCCAATATCCCTGCAATCGACTCTAACTCAGCATTCTCCAGCAGTCTCTGTATGATCCTGCAGCCATACTGATGTAGAGCCATGTCTTCAGCACGTTTTGCCACGGCCTGAATCACAAAACTGATATGTCCACTGCTGGGCATATTCTCCACAACTTTTTGTATCACGTGATTCCCGTTGGCATCTTCAATGCAATCGATGACTTTGTCAAAGAACTGGGAGACCAGATCATCCCAATCCTCATCTCGCAATGTCTCCAAGAACTTTTGCACCACTCGGCAGCCATACTTGTCCATGGACAAGTCAATGATACCACTCTTCACTTGAGCGACCAAAGAGGCTGCCTGGCAGGCGACGGTACTAGGTGAACAATCAAAAAGACTGTGGTCAAGCTGAGAGGGTAAATGCGCTCATGGTCTATGACTCATGGTCATACTATATTGCCTGTTTGGGTCCAACAAATCATCCAAGTCTTGCAACTTTAATACAGCTTTGGTCCGGTACGATTGCTATACAAACATGCACAGAAAGAACACATTGGACATATCAAAACCTTCTGTTTGGTCTGAGCATTGGGCTACAGTCTGCTTTACCTCTCATAAAATTACATGTGCTTCTGATGATGTTGAAGTAGAACTCTAAAGAAGCTCTCGGTTGCCAAGGAGAAGCAGCATTCCATCTGGTGGGATGGCGTTCCGTCGGGCAAAACAGTTCGGAGGTCGGGAGCAAAAAGTAATGAGAATTCCCACAGCTGGATCCAGGGGCTCCTGGAACGGTGCCTCCAGGATTCAACTTCAACGCTGGAAGGTTGAAGTTGAAAGTTGAACCACCCAAACACCCTGTGGGCATGAACATACCAAAAAGAGCAGCAAGAGACGCCAAAACGAGATCCCACGAGCCACTGGTGGAACCTGTTGGTGAGGAGATAGATTTGCCGACTATCTTGCCCCAACCAACCCGATAGATTTGAATGTCAGCTTCAAATAATTTGTCAGGTCAGGTCCTCACATTGGACATTCATGTCCATCATTCGACCTTAGTGTGCTGATTCTACTAAATCCTTTGCCACTGTTCGTGCCAATGATCCCAAACCGCCTGTTCTCGCGAACAGCTGTCCAGCAGCTTTTGAATCACAAAGTTCCCAAAAGCATCCTTGGATTTGCTATTGAGGGACCTCACAAAAACCAAAGAAACAAACACATAACATAATCATTAAAGATTCCTGACCAGTGGAGCAGAGGGTAATAGTAATTAGTGGTTAGTAAGCGGAGGACAGAAACATAAAAGAAAAGAACACATATCAGCCACTAAAGTTAGGATGATCTTTCCGTCAGTGTGGCTTCCCGGTTAGGCGGAGAAAAAATCATTGGATCAGCACGTGTTTCCAAGCGTCTTTGGACAACTTTCTCGCTGCCGGCGCTGCCTTCTCAAAGATCCGTGACTGCTCCTAGCAAATTTGGGCAGATACCTCCATGATAAGACCGAATCAAAAACAAAGATTGTGCAACACAAGGCTGATTTTGAGATGCCAATCTGCAGGCGGATGGACACCTTCCTCCCACCTTCCCCTGAATTTCTCAACTCTGACTCCTCCTTGCTGCAGCTTTCCAGCTTCCATTGCAGGAACCGGCTTCCCTCTTGTTCCTGTGCATAATGGACCAGTCTGGGCAAGACCTCCTCCAGGCTCAAGCGAATCTCCGGGTCCTCCAAAGGCCTCTTCCTCCCCCCCTCGCGCGGCTTCTGTGAGGGGCGTGGCTCTTGGGGCGCGTGTGGAGGCGGATAATGTGGAGGCGGATAATGTGGAGGTGGGTAGCCAGGGAAGCCAGGGCCCGGAGGGGGAGGGGGATAGCCATAGGGTGGGTAGTGTGGGGGTGGATAGTAGCCATAGCCTGGTGGTGGGTATTGCCTGTATGGATCATAGTATGGATCAGCTCCACCTGGCGGCGGGTATGCCGGATAGCCATAAGCACCACGGTCATCGTAGTGGTAGTGGGCTGCGTAGGGGTCGGCCGCAGGGGTGGGCTGCTGAGGGGGTACGGACCATGGAGCGGGTTGTCTTGGAGACTCCCTTGCAGGACTGCGGCTTCGATACGCCATAGCACCAGGAGCGGAAAGGGGAGCTGGATTTGCTGCTATTCCTGTGATTTGGTGGGTGCAAGTCAATGCGACTATAGTTGTAATGATTCAAGCATACTTTGGATGAGGTGGACGGTGCTGTTCGTGGTGTTGATGATGATGCTGGCTCTGTCCCTCCGGTATTGCTGTAGAACTCATGTTGGGCATCTCTCAGGTTCAGGCCAGGTGGCGCATGGCTCCAAATCATCGTGGAAGTTGAAGGCAAACGGCACCAAATGCAGGTGAACGAATCTCACAAGCAACTCTTGGACCAGCACATCACTGCGTCCCGGATCCCCCGAGGGCCCCTGTAGCGCCACACTGTGGGGACGATGCCTGCGTTGTTCGAAGACCTTTCTATTTGATGGACGGAAGACCTATCGGGTTTTGCCCATGGTTGGTTGCACAACCTCCATATCTTATACCTGATCGTGAACGCCAGTGGTAGAACACCCGCTAATTAACCATGATGGCAAAAGCATTTCAGTTCCAGGACTTCAGGGATCACT